AATATAGGTTTTTGCCACTTTTTGCCACTTTGCTTGGCAAAAACCTGTTTTTGCCAGGACGGTTTTTACCGGTATTTACCATGGTTTTTTCCACCTGCGGCAAAATCTTGCCAACCCTGCTCTTTGCCCAAAAATAGGTACGGTTCCAACAAATAAATGTAAATTATTTATTCATTTATTCATTACTTAAAGGTATTAACTTGTAATATTTGTAATCCATTCTAAATATTATTCTCTAATATTACGGATTAATATTCGATATTTAGTCTAAATTAAAGGCTAAAAACTAAAAGTGGTATTCTTTTATTATAAAGTAATCCTGTAGTTAAAATTACCATATTATATAACATTTTATAAAAAATATATAGAAAAGTTTCATGAGAAACATACTGAAAACAGTATGCAACTTAATCATTTTCTAATTTTCAAACATCAAATTAGTTAGTTATTTTGATAATAAACTTTATATAAAACTGATTCCAGACAAAATAGGCAATTAAAATAATTAATACAAAACTATTAATGGGAATTAACTACGCGCAATTTAACTGAACAATCTGGCGAAAATCATTTATAGAACTATTTTTATAGTAACCAAAAGTTGATAAGGAATTTAAAAAACAGAATTGTATATAAAATTGCAATTTAAACTGAACAAAAAGATTAAGTTAAAATTTTATTTCAATACACTGTGGAACAAAACCAACATAAATGCAAAAAAAAATTTTTTTTTTTGGAGATCTTTGAGTATATTTAATTTTTTATCGAGCATTCAGGTTGTCGATAAGAAAAAACAGATAGCAATCTATAAACTCCCCAAACGATGGTTACAACAAAACAAATCATGTAATTTCATAAAGGAATAACAGAAACTTAAAAATATTTCTCAAAAAACCCAAAAATTCCAAGCTTTCGAAATCCAGGTGGGTTGGGCTTTTTAAATAAAACCAGAGTTTTTTCAAACCTTAGTCCCATTCGCATCTTTGTCTGTGGAAAAGTAACACATTGACAAGAATTTCTTTAGATACAAAAACAGGTGAAAGTTGCTGTGAACAAGATTGGAACTGTAAGGCAGATAGTCAAACAGCTGCAAGAGAAACTTCGCGAGTTTTGTTAAATCTATATCTGACGTACATGGACAAAACTACACAGAACAAAGCAATAGCACTGAGCATACTTTACTGCATCTTTTACAATAAATCTACTCATGTAATTATATTTTTAAGTTCTTGGGGAAACTTTCTTTTTGAATGATCCTAGTATTTTAAAATCTCCCCTCCGATATAAGTATAAAAGAGAAAGAAAACAAATAGAAATGAAAGAACCTTAGATACATTATCTACAATTATATCAAGCCTTAAATAAGTTTCCCTTATTGAATCAAGAATGCCAACACATATCTATTCCTATATCTTTTCTCATATGAAAATGAATATAAATATAAAGAAAAAAAATTAGAAAAAAATTATTGCATGCTTACTCATCAAAAATAAGAACTTAATTATAAAATATGTAGTTGTAGTTAATGTACGCAAAATTTGTATTTGACTAGCAAAAATGCAAACTAAGGCTTAGGTGTTTTATGATTTTGTATGTCATAAATGCATTTACATAAAAAAGAACCTTTTAAAGGATAGTGTTTACTGGAACTAAGCACATAAATGCTGTTATATTTCCAAATACTTAAATGTATGATTCAAAATCACATTTAACCAAAGGAGATTGGTGACTGTAATAATTATACACAATATCATTAAAATAACAAAAGAAAAAAAGCTTTTATAATGTATAGTTCATATTTGATAAATTATTTTACAGTACAGAACCCGTTATCCGGAAATCAGAAAACCGGAAAACCAAAAAACCGGAACGAAATTCGATAAATTTTCCCGCAATTTTTAAAAAAAAAATTTTTTTTCCTCATCAGATTTTATGATTTTTCTTTCTTTTTTGAAAGATGTTTACCTTACCATCATTTCAAAAATAATCATTAGTGTATTACCTCATCGTTTTTTCTTATTTTTAAGATTATTTACAAATATATTTCTTTTTTAGTTGGGTTTAACACTAAAAAAACGGCTTTTTGTAGCGATTCAGAAAACCGGAAAAATCAGTTATCCGGAATAGCGATAGTCCCGATCATTCCGGATAATCGGTTCTCTACTGTATTTAAAATTTTCAAGTTGCTCAATCTCAAAGAAAAATACCAATGTTGTGTTTATTGTGTTTGAGATATTTGCACATTTTTCAGAATTTTATAATTTTCCTTGGGGAGACCCATAAATTGATTAAAACAAAGAAAAAATTTAAACTCACTCTTCTAATCAAATCTCTTGATTCATTAGTCACATAATGTGGAAACATAAGTTTATGCTTCATTATCTGAAAAAAAAATAAGTTATCACCACAGTTGTAAAAGAAAAGTTAAACTTAAATAGACATTGTGGATTTGAAATTCACACAAATTGCCTCACAGTCCAGCAGTACATTAAAAAAGTTACACCGACAACAAATAAGCAAGATAGTTTTTCACACTTTTTTAAATTAAAGTAATCTAATACCATTTCAAAATATATAATTCAAATAATAATCATTAAAAACTACAATAAATTAGCATAAAACTAAAATTTTAAAAAGTTTAGTTTTATTTCAAATAAATTTAAAATTGGGCTTATAAAAATAAATCTTGTACAATCCAAATTTTCCATTTTTTCTTACAAAGGGAGTTTTTCAAAAATATCATATGCATAAAATTTGACTATTTGTACTTTTAAATCTTAAAAATAAAATTCCTTTTACTAGTTAAACATAAAAACTTGTGCTAGAAAAAGAAAATGGCTCTAGAAAATAAATATGAATATAAATATATCTCACAAATAATATGCTTGAAATGAATAATTTCGAAAAAAGCTAGGACGAAAAATATACCTAGAAAAAAAATTATATTTACTTGATTGAAAAGAAAAGGCTACATGTTTCAAACACCCAGTATAAAATACTCTTCCTTAGGACCACAAAACTTATGAAAACATAGAAACATATCAGAAACAAGTAAAGGCACAGTGCTTAACAAAAAAAATTGATGAGGAATATTAAAAAGAGGGAAAAATCAGAAAAATCATTATTCGTAATTATGAAGTGGTTCCTTTAATATTTTCATACAATTGCCACAAAATTACCAATATCCTCTATTAAATATCATTTCCGTGCCTGTTAGTAAAATGAAGGATTCTGTCTGTATTGATAATGGCAGGGGTTGCAATGGAACGAACGTGCCATTGTCATTGCAACTATGGCAATATGGGGTAATCCTGGAATGCTTTTGAGATTTAAACAGGGTTCGCCAAGTGGGCCCACTTTGAAAAAACCCACTTGGAACGATAAGTGGGTTTTTTCAACAAAAAAAAATTTTTTTTTACTAAAACTTATTGTTTCGCATTTAGTTTCATATAATTTATTGTGCAGCATAAATTTGTCAAATAGAGTTGCATGATTTATATGATTAAGTTTCTAATATTAGTAAAGTAAAAGAAACTCGGATCTGCATATAATTTTATAGTAGGTACTATTGAAAACTTCAAGTGGGTTTTTTCAAAAAGTAATATTTTAATGATATTAAATCAAATAAAAATTTAAATAATATAGTCTGAAAAGATCAATTTTTCAACTATAGTTGCATGCTTTATATATTAATAAACAGGTAATATAATACATACAGGTAATATAATAATATAATATATTAAAAAAAATTGAAAAGAAACAATTTTTTTCTTTTTTTACCAAGTGATACATTAACAAATTTAAACAGTTTTATTTTCTAGCTTAAGAAAAAAAAAAGCTAAAACTTTTTATAGGAGAACTTTTTAAAATTATTTATCTAAAAATGAAATCCTTTTCTAGGGTTAATTATTTGAAAACAAATGGGACAAGTAACTGATACTCTTTATAATTATACGTAGTTTTAATTTCACTTTCTATTAATCTTATTATAGAAACATGTAAGACCATTAAATATTTATTTCAGTTTTTTATTTAACTCAAGTCAGATGAAATTTTAGTTTTTACTGATTATAAATATTTACAGATTATAATTTTATAATGGGTAATATCCATATGTTTAATAAATATAGTAAATAAATGTGTGTGAAAACAAAAAGATTAATAAACTTGTTCCTTTTATATTACTGCATTTATATTTTATAATTCTTGAGTTAAAAAATTATGAAACGTAATGTACTTAAAAATAAAGAAGATTCAAATATGTATTAGTGATAATGCGTTATTTAAACTTAATATAAAATACATATAACCAGGGTTCCCCAAGTGGGCCCACTTTGAAAAAACCCACTTGGTGGTTTTTTTCACAATTTTTTTTTTTTTTTAAATTTGGTTCAAAAAGAAGTATCTCCTAATACTATCATTGGACACATCGTTGAAGTTAACAAATATTTTAGAAATGTGCATCAAGCACATGGATGGGCAATGGAAAAAAACTGCTTGATGACCAAATGATACTAGGTGGAATTCATATTGTGAGCACGTAAAAACTTTTGCCAATAATTACCATAAATATGAAGAGATTGTTCTTGAACATCAAAATGAATCTAATAATAATATGTCAAAAATATTAAATAATGTTGGGCTTTACCAATAAACTATCAATTGGGAAAAACAGATATCAATTGTTTCTTAAGCTTTAAAAAAGCTTCAATCAGAAAACATTTCAATTTCAGAAGCTGTTGAAATATGAATTAACTTACTATCGTGTGATGAATTAGAACCCCATACACATTTTGTAAAAAGATTCAATCAGGCTGTTCAGCCACATCATTTATTAGCATATGCATCCTGGATCCCGAAACAAGGGGACAATTTTTAAATGATGAACAAGACCAATTAGCAGAAAGCTGTCTTTCTAAGCATCATCCAGAATTTCTGCCACGTGTTATGGCATCCAAAATTTCCGATCCTGAATACTTTCCAAAATCAATGATGCTTGACACTGTTATTGAACAGTTTTCATCAAAAAATAGTGGAAAATTATGGCAAAAAAAATAAATAAATAAGTAAATAAATAAAATTCCTAGCTTCCACAAAATTTCTGTCAATTCTTTTTTCTTTGCACTCAGCACCAGCATCCTCTGTCTCTATCGAAAGACACTTTTCAACTTTCGGTTTGGTGCAGAGTAAACTTCGAAATAGATTAGGAATAGATAAAGCTACAAAACTCGTAAAAGTGTATCGCCATCTAAGAGAGAAATGTAGACACTTTGAATCTGTTGTATGATAATAATAATAAAGGAAAAAATGGACCTTTTTTTTTAAGTTAACTCTTAACATCTGCTGACAATTTTTAACTATTTGGAGAAAGTTTATCACAATTAAAAAACAGTTAAAAATTAAAATATTACTTTTAAGATTTTTTAAATATTATTTTTAAGATTTCATTTGAATACAATTTATTTTGTTTCTTTTAATCATGCTTAAAAATATTGAAAGCAAACAAAAAAAATTTCTATTAAGTGATACATTAAACAACAATAAACAAATTTAGAATTTTATTTTCTGATTTTAAAAAAATAAGCTATAATTTTTTATATATGCTTTTCTATAATTTTAAGATAAATTTGTTTTTTGAAACTATAAAGTTAAAATGTATCTAAAAATGCATATATTTATCTAAATATTTGAAAAAAGGGACAAGTAACTGATACTCTTTATAATTATGCGTAATTTTAATTTCACTTTCCATTAATCGTATTATAAAAACATGGAAGATCATTAAATATTTATTCCAGTTTAATTTTATTACAGGTAAAAGTCAGATGAAATTTTAGTGTTTACTGATACAACACTATTTAATTAAAAAAATATTTTCACAGTGATATTTATGAGCACTAAATGAAAAAACCCAATTTTCCCGGGTTTTTTCAAATAAAACCCAATTTTCCCCGGGTTTTTTCAATGAAACCCAGGCGGGCTGGGTTTTTTCAAAAATCCCCGGGTTTTTTCAAACCCTGAATTTAGACCAAATGAACATTGCAAATATTGTTATTAAGAGATTAATAAAAGCTCGTATATTGATAATTATCAAAATGGCAAATGAGTTAAACTCTTTTTACTCTTGACACATCAGCTTATCTTGATATCCTAGCCCTAGAGCCTTGTTTCATTCGCATCAATGCAAATTTTATTAGTTAATGATCTCACTTCTGCCCTAATCCTGCATTGTGCAAGTAAATTTATTCTGTCCATATTCGTTTTTTTCTGCCACTATCATCCTCTTGGCTACCTTGATTTGTCTTGTTTCTCCCATTTTTTTAAATTTTCCCTCTTTTTTTTTGTCAACTGTAGCTTTATTTGTTTCTAAGTTTTCAACATTCATACGTTGATATCCTGACAAGGTTTGTGGGTGTTTTAGACGCTTGAAACATGAAACTGTTCTTTGATTTCAACTTTAAAATAATTTTTTCCTTTTAAAACATATCCTTTCATTTATTTTTTAATTTTTACTTCCTTTTATATATGAGTGTGTATTTGAGTAAAGGCAAACATACAAACATATTTCTATATTCAAGTAAATATTTAGCCATATCAGAAAGTAGGGCTTATACAATTCTATAACTTTAAAATATAAGAGGTTACAAGGGCAAGATATAAACACATAAAACTTGCGTAATGGAGATAGATTACAGCAATTCAGTTTAGTATTCCCAGCTATGCCTAAGAGAATGACATCAACTTTCCTTGAAAATTTAAAAATTAATATATTCAACGGCAAAGTAATTTACAATAATAAGTGAAACACAAATAGTAATAATGCCTGAACTTTACTAACATTTAAAGTTTAAACTTGAGGTAAGGAACTAATACATTAACTACAGGACAACAGTTCTAAAATTTAAAACTTCAGAATAATTTTAATTAATATTTAATAACATGCATATCACAAGCTATACTTGTCACATATTATGTATTGAAAATGAAACTGTTAAACCAACCTTTTATATCAATTATGAGACATATTCTAAACATACCTATATTACATAAAATATTATAAGTATTTTAAGCATTTTAATTAATCTAAAAATTTCATATTTAGAAAAATGATGCCTTCAAAATAGTAAAAAAAAAACATTTTTAGTTAGTGTGTTAAATCTTAATAACTCTAATCAATGCATAGTTTAATATACTAACTTTAAATATTCAAAATACAATTTTAAAAAAAATTTCAGAAGTGTTATAATAATAAAACTTGCATATTGTAATAATTCAGCAAAAAACAATCTTACTATTTATCAACAGAAATAAAAAAACAATGAGTTTGAAACAAATATTTATACCTTTTCAATGGTCTTCTTTCTATTTTCTGCTTGAAATGGAGGCTAGAATGAGAATATTGATCATAAAAATAAAATAAAAATTTTTGTATATCTACAGTACAAATTTTTTGAAAAATTCATAATTTTCTTCTTAAATAAGATATATTTTTGTCTTAATTTAAAATAAACCTTTAAATTAACAACAACAAAAAAATCCAGAAAAAATCTAAAAACTTATGAAAATATTTGGAAACAAATTTGGCCTTTTAAATTTGTAAAAATTTATTAAATTCCGTAAACAGGGTGTGTAGCGAAAATTTGGGAAGTTTGAGATGGGAAGATTGAGATGATAAAGCTTAGAAATTTTTAGTGTATGACTAAAAATTTCTAAGCTTTACTACTACTCTGAATTCACACTACTCTGAATTCACATGAAAATACATAATTAACGAATAATTTCCAAGTAAAGTTCAAGGTTTACGGTACTGATCTGTAGAATAGTGCAAGAAGGCCATCAGCTTGCCAGTGACGAAGAATTTCTTTTGCGATTAGGGAAGAAAAAATTGGCAATGTGTAATTGGCCCCTACCATCAGTAAAAATTTCAGAAAGTCTTAGTTAGACTTCAAAAGGTGGAAAATGAAGTCTGGAATCAAGAATCTCTTGCAAAATGCAGCATATATGCACATGAGAGAGAAGGAATTCTGCTCACCAAATCCTGCTTAGTGTATCCAAAGTCATAAGTATATTATGAAACATGTAAAATGATCGTCACGTTCATACGCTAAAGACAAACGGTACGCCAAAAAGGATTATAGTTCAATAACCATGCTTTTTGCGTAATTCGAGGCAAAACTAGACATGCTACAGAAAAGAAAAATCTCATTTTGGAAAGTGGGAAATCAAGCACTATTTATAAACAATCAATGACAAAAAGCTTCTTTATCAGCTTTTAAAAAATGAAAATCAAAAATAAACACATTGAGCACTTTTTAAAATGCTATGCATCCTAGTAAAAGAGCATATTAGTTTGTCAACAGTATCCTTTCTAAAAATAAATTTTGATCATTTTATTCTTTACAACAAAAAATATGCTTAAAAGCCCCGAGGTTATTCATCTTGTACTATCATTTTGTTATGTAAAAATTTTACAAAAACAAAAAAATACTTTAGCAGCATGCTTTAGCAATAGAAACAAGATAAACAATGCTTTAGATAAATAGTAGACATTGCGATAATTAATACAACATTTTACAAAAATAAAAAAATCTTAAATATAACTTACAGAACCAGTTAACATATCATACATAAGAGCTCCAAAACTCCACCAATCAACAGCTCTACCATGTCCAACTTGAGCTAATATTTCAGGTGCCCTGTAATTAAACAATACCTCTAAGTTTTTTTAAACCATTTTATAAGTGGTGTGCAGTTTTTAGTATTTTCGAAATAACTTACATGTATTCGATAGTTCCACAAAAAGTGTGAGTTATAGAACCATCAAGTATGGACTCTTTGCATAAGCCAAAGTCGGTCAACTTTATATGCCCTAAAAATTATTGAATCATCGATTAGTAACCAATATCTACCATACATTACTAATAAAAGAAATTTTATACTTTCGCACAGAAATTAGAATGTCAAGAAAAATAACTTATTAGGAAATCTCAGTAATATCACACACAGTACTTTATACCCCACAATTTTAGATTTCCTAAAAAATCAATGCTAATCACAAAATTTTCATCAGAACTGCTTGAAAAATCAATGAATTCTCTATATGCCACAAGAGATGTTATAAGTAACCATTCATTGTAGCTCCTTTTAGGGACATTACTTGAAGTGAAAATGTTTTGGGATGTACACTAAAGAGTTATTTAAATTATTTTTCTCTAAAAAATTATTTGAACTTAGTAACTTTTTATAATCATCTTATACTAAAAATATTTTATACATTGACTTTCATTCCTGATATGAGTTAGAACATAGATTAAACTTGTATACAATTTTCAACTACATGCAAATCTCTTTCAAAAAACATTCCCAGAAAAAGAAGTAACAAATGAAATAAAATAAAAAAATAAAAAATATAAAGAAGTCAATATAAAGTTAAAAATAATAAGTAAAAAAGATCCATATTGATTAAATTAAGAATAAATTGCAGAACTCACCTAAATTATCTAGTAAAATATTCTCTGGCTTCAAATCTCTATAAATAATACCTTCTTTATGTAAATGCTCTAATGCCAACAATATTTCAGTCAAATAGAAGCTAAAAGATAAAAGTTAAGATAATTTTAAAACTGCAACCTAAAAATAATTGGGATATTTATAAATACAATCAAACTTTGTTTTGATGAAAAAGCATAACATATTTTATTACTTAAAAAAAAAACTGATTCTTTAATTAATTAATTTCTTAAAGTAATTGATATTCGATTTTTGATTAATAATTGATTTATGTGGATAGTGGCATTTATGTGGATAGTGGCATAGAATTTAGCATTGCGTTATGGTAAATGTTATTCCTACTAAGTGGAAGTAGTTGTGTTTTTTTTTATATTATACCCAATTAAACATTTTTTCTCCTTGAAGAAAATCAATTTGTGAAAGATGCCTCAGTTCACGTATTGTGCTCAAATTTAAAGTCTAATAAAATACTTTTAAGATATACACATACCAGGCTGTGTCTTCCAGCAGCATAACTTCTCTTTCTAGATGCATAAATAATTCGCCCCCACTTAAGTATTCCAAAATCAGGTATAACTTTTCTGGAGTTTGAAAGGCATAGTGAAGATCCACAATAAATGGGTGCTAAACAGAAAAAGTAAATAATTATTTCAGTTTCAAAAATTTTAGTGACATAAAACATCAAACGAGAAAAGCACTCCAAGACATATTTAAAAATAAAGAAAAAATATTAAACACACTTTTTTCATGACTAACTCTTTAAACAGTGGATTTACAATTAGTCAATTTTTAAAGTATCAGAGATATCTTATCAAATCAAAGCTGTTTCATAATCAAGAGGAGTTAGGTAGTAAAGTTTTATGAAAACTAGGATAGCTATTATAACATTCTAAATAAAATAAACAATTGTAGTATTTACATTTAAATAAAATATTAGAAAAATTTAAAGTAATGTTATTTAATACTATTTCTCTAGACTTGGCTTTTTTAAACTAACTTTTATAACAAAGGGCCATGCACAGCAGGTAAACCAATAAAGGACAGCAAGACCAAGTGCAGGCTTGCTACTTAAACAAAATTCCCCGATTTTTACAGGTTTTCCAGACATATATTTAAAAAATTCCAGACTAATATCACAGTATGTACTGACAGTATTATGGGCAAAATAAACAATAACCAAAAAAAAAAGTAATACAATGAAACCTCCAAAAAGACCACCTCTATGTAGCGACCATCTTTATTGCAACAACTTTTGGTAGGCACTGAATTTTTTCAATATACTTTGTGTTAAAGAAAAGACTAGGAAAGACTATGAAACCTCTCCCAGCGACCAGGAAACATCCGCTCCAAATGCGGAGAAGCTCAAATAAGGAAACACAAAAACCAAACATTATGACATTAAGATTGATTGAATCGTAACAAATTAAACACATCAGCAAGTGATAACTAGAAATCTAAATTTGCAATGCGTAATATTATAATATTAAAAAACCTAAATTTGAAAAATCAAATCTAAAGAATCAAAAAAATTATTAATAACTTCGGAAAAAAAACTATTATCAAACCATGTAAAGTTACATTGTATCACAAATTATATACAACAAAAAGTGATATTTCGAATCAAAATTCGAAAGTCATAATAACATCATATTAAAAATATCGGTAAAAGAAAAACCTTGTAAAGGAACCGAAAAAAATGATAAATAACTGCTGATAAATTATCAACTAAGGACGTAAAATTATGATGGAATCGTCACAAATTGAAAGTTTCAAAAAAAGTGATGGCTCAAATTCGAAATTCTCATGTCGGAACCATATATTAAATATAATATATAGGAAAATAAAATATAGGAAACAATTTGAAAAACCACGAGGAAGCAGCCAAAAAACGATCGCAAAAACATGGACTTATTAAAAAAATTAATAAAGAATAGTTACTGAGAAAACTTAATGTTCTTTATCAATTAAGAAATTTTCAGAAAAATATTTTCCATTCTCTACAAAAATGGACCCTAAAAATAAAAAAATTTGCATTAACCCCACATTATAGTATAGCATTATAATTTCCAAGTGAAATGACAATCCCTATACTTCATGAGCATTCTTGATAACAAGTTTAATTGAATTCATTTATCAAACCTTGGCGATAGAGGATTAAGAAAATTAATAATAAAAACATTAATAATTTATAAGAGATAATAAAACACTATTTATCCCAATAAATTTCTTAATAAAAAATAAGAAAAAACAATCTGAAGTATATCCATCCTTCTACATGTTATGGATTCTAGCAATCATAAACCTTTTTCCAATTGCAAGTTTTCTAAGTCACAAAACCACAGCATGCTGCGGTTCAGTTAAATTTGGCTCCAAGCCATATGGGGTGAAAACGAAAGTCTTGCATAGGAAACTTGTTCTACTGTAAATACAAATCAAACTCCCTGACTTTGCCAGATTTTGGCTCAAAAATGTTTAATTCCCTGATTTTTAGACAATTTCCAAATTCCTTGTTGTTTCACAGTATTCCAGGTAACGTAGCAACCCTGCAAACACTTAACGGAAATCGGTAATCATGGTTATTTTTATCAATATTTTAACCTTTTTGCCAGGCGGCTTAGTAATATATTTGCATAAATTTAAATGTTTTTAATATTAAATATTAGAATTCATTGTAAACTAAATGCAAAATATACTTTGTTATTAAAGTAAAAAATATTCCCTAAAATAAAATTTAACAATTATAAAATGAAAGTAAAAAAATTATTTTATTGAGTCATATAAATGCAGATTAAATGATTTCATTAAGAAAATATATAAGGATTGAAATTATTTAAATTACAACAAAACCATTAAAGTGCATATGCAAATAGAGATTCAACATTTTGTTACTTATACTTCAATTTTAAAATATATATTCATAAAATTATGTGCGGTATAAATATCATTTATCAAACTTATTTTTTAATGCTTAGTTATAAAATAATATAGGTTATAAAAGCATTTTAAAAGATATAAACAGTAACAACAACAATTATAAACAGTAATCAGTTGAAAATACACTTTTTCACATCAGTTGAAACACACAAGATTTTAAACACCATGTAAAAATACATTGCACTGACTGGCAAAAAAAATTATCAAAAAAAATTTTAAATAGACACAAATTAAGTGCGTCAAAAAGTTTATTTTCCAATGTGCTATTCAAAATTCTCATTTCGTTACAATATTGCACTAAAAATATCAGAATTTTCAAAACATTGCAGAAATGCTCAGCAATAACTGCCAATGAAATTGGCACAAATAAAACACACCAAAAAGTGTTAATTTAAATGTGCAATTCGAGACTCACAAGTAAATATAATAACATATAAAAAATAACTAGGTTTTAAAAATCACATAAGTCACTTGGAGATAATGAAATAGTCACAAATACAAAACGACAAAAGAGCACGTATCGCATCAAAAATATTTTGATTTTCTTTTAGAGGATTTCATTTTTAAGTTATAAATTTTAACTTTCTTTTACAGATAAGAAATTCTAAATTCATCAAAAAAAAACCATCTGTTGTCAAAAAATAACCTGACGGGTGATTTGACGTCAGACCAACAACACCTATGATGTCAAAATCTCAAGAGTAATAGAAAAACAAAATTCTTTTTTTTTTTTTTTCAGAAAGTATAGCACTTAGTAACTCTGAATTCCTGTTATGTGAGAGAATTTTAGACACCTTAAATGTGCTGGGTAATCCATGAGTAGAACATGCGGAAGATTTATAGTAACGATTTTAGTCCTTAGTTCAATTTAAATGTTACAGAAATCTTAGTTCAAATAAGTTAGTCTTTATTGTAATGTTCAACTCTGCAATGCGAAATAAGACTAACAATTTTCAGTACTACATGAAAATGCATAGCTACTGTGAAAACAATTTACTTTATTATGACAAGTTACTAAGGTGAAATCATGTGGAAATCCGTACCAATTACCATCGAAAAAGCAACAGAAAACCACATTGATTCTCAATGAAATTTGCACAAATTAAGATCGTCAAAAAGTTTTAAAATTTCTTAAGAGTCATTCATTCCATGTCAAAAATTTCCTTTTTTTTAAATTTCTCAAGAAAAGAAAATTTTACGTTTATCATATTTAGGTGCTACCATGGGTTCAACATTAATAACTGGCAGGCTGCATGTGACCTGCAGGTCTCAGGGTGTGTAACACTATTTTAGACAATAGAGAGAGAGTAGAAAGCTCTTTTTAACCTTCAAATAATGATAAACAATGCACTAAAGAATTGTATAAAATAAAAAAATTGCTACCTTAACTGCTTCCAAAATGTTTCTCTCGGCTTTTGTATGAGCTGTATCTTTTTTGTTTCTCACAATTTTTGCCTGAAACATATAAACTTATCAAGCACAGCTATAAAACAAATAGTGAAACATTAAAAATTACTCATTTTAACGTACTGCTTGTTGATATAGTGATCAAATTTTCACATACTAAGATGTATTTGTCTTTGTTTGGAGTTCTACCCAAAAACATGCTAATTATTCTAAATTGTAAAATGAGTCACACAAAAAAAACTTTCTCAACATAAAAATTTTTAACAGGTGTGGATTTTTGACCATCAAAATATGGGAAAGCATAATGACTACCAAAGTTTGAAAGTCTGAATGTTAATTTCTCTTTTTGTTTACAGCTTGCTTTATAAATTTTAAACAATTTAAGAACCAAAAAATTTTTGCACACAATTATAAACTTGCAAAAAACAAAAGATAATTCTAAATGAAAAAAATTTGGTTTGCAATAGTTTATTATTAAATTTAATAAAAGTTAAATATTAAACCCTTACAAAATTTTACATCTATATCATTCTAAACTACATAATTTTAAATAACAGAATATGTCTATGAAGTTTTAAATAATAGAATATAAAGAAATGTTCATTCACGGAAAATATGTTTGTGTGTCTCAGAGGTAAAAATTAAGAAAATTCAGTCACTGGTCTAAAATAATCGGCTAACTAGTCTTGCTTTTGTTGAAAAAAAGTTAATAAAGTGAATTCAAATGAAAAATTATAATACAAAGAATACATACTGTTCACATTTTTGTTGAAATGTGACATTTTTTGTGAAAAAGCACTCATCCTTTTACATTGATTGTTGGAATGGGGGATTACTGATGATTATTTTACGATGGTTTAGGTCAAATTTTGGTTGTCCCAGTATAAAATTAAAGCTCTAGAACCGATTTTATAACTTAAAAATATTGTTTATGCAAATTTATTAGCCTATTCCCACAAACCAATAAAATTGTGTCTTAGTACATAAACATCTGATCATTAAAATCAGAAGTTAAGATATTCTGTTTTTAATTTTGTGTATTTTACATTAATACCCTACATAAATAATGGCAGATTTCTCCACTTAAATAATATATATCTAAAAGTAGGATTTAAGCTTAAAAAAAAATAAAAACTAATTTGTAATGATTACATAAATTAGCAAAACAAAACTTGTTAATTTCAAATAAGCAATAAGACTGCTCCACTTTTCTGAGAAAAAAATTATTTGAAAATAAGCAAATATAGTTATTACAAAGCTTCACCAGTAGTAAAATTATCCATTTTTGTCAAATTTTTAAGACACAAGGAAAAAAAAAATTTTTTATGTGTTAAGCTATCTTACAAATAAATTGGAGAGCATTAACCCCTTAACTGCCGCGGGCGCATATATACGTTTCGGCCAGACGATGCGTTAACTGTCACAGGCGTATATATACGCTTTCCCGAAGTACCATGCTTTGTATTGCGCTGCTATAAATAGAACTACACCCCCTACTTCAGAATGCAGTAAAATAGCCTTGAAAGTGTTTGCTTTGCGAATGAATTACTAATTTCGGGTGAGGGGGAATGGGAAAAGGATGTTACGGAAAAGTGATATTGTATTAATCGCTTGGTTGTATTTATTTGAGTAAGGTCGAGTTTATTCTTTTTTCGCTTTCGTTTCCCGTATGTATTTGGTGCTTTTTGTTATTTCCATCAACGTCTTCAAAGAAAAAAGCATCGCGAAAATGTGCTGTTTGTTCAAGGAAAAAAATCCAAAAAAAATCCCGCTATCAGTGCGATGAATGTGATGTGTCCAACCATGTTTCAGGATTTATCATACAACAGCTAAGTTTTAACATCTTTTATATTGTATTTTTATTATTTAATTTAAATTTTGTATTTTCTTTCTTTCCTTTTTCTTGTCTTGTAAAACTAAACTGTCTTTAAATTGCAAAGCGTGCATCATTTTCCCCCACCAAAACACCGTGTAAGAAAGTGCACTTGAGCGAAAAACGGTGGCACTGGGGAGTGAATCATGTTAATTTCACTCGGCAGTTAAGGGGTTAAAATCAGTAAGGAAAACTGAAATTTTCACAATAGTGTGAAAGGAGGAATCAAATGGTTTTTTTTTTTATTAATTTATAGAAAAGTTTAATTGCCTACAACAATATAACAGATTCAAAGCAAACCTGCTGATATTTACTTTTTTATTATACTATTCTAACAAGGTAATGTATTTTTAAATATATTCATTTTGCTTTACATTTCTTTAAATATTAGTGGTTTCAAAATTGTAATTAAGTAACAAAATTAAGTGTTGCATTTAAAAATAGAGAGAGATTTTAAGTAAGAAACAAAAAATTTTCACTAAATTTGACTAAATAAAACTAAGGATTTGATTGGTGTCTAACACATTAAAAAAACAGCATATTTTCCTTCAACGCAGATTTGTTTTCTTCTCAGTGAGGGAATGAAGAATTTATTTTCCCTGAACTTTAAAATAATAAAACATTACAAAGTTTTAGTTAATTTATTTTTCATTTTAAAATTTATTAAATATTTCTCATCTTATAATCATTCTTAAGCAATAGTCTTCATATTACAATAATTACTAAAGAAGTAGGCTACAATCAACAGTAGAATTATTCAAGGTTAAATCAACTGTTTAGTATTTTTATATTAGAAATCTTCAGATGGTTATTTAAATTATAAAAATTGAAACTAATTAACTAAGGATGTTACCTTCTTTAATACTTTCATGGCAAATATCTTGCCAGAATCCTTACCACTTATTTTTCGAACTTGAAATACCTGTAAAAAAAAATAACAATTAGGACACATCCGAAAATATTTAGTATATTTTGTCATCAGTTTTAAAAACTTAAGATTTAGCTAAATTAAAGAATACCTTTCCATATCCACCTTTTCCTAAAACTTTAAGAAGTTCAAAATCCTTGACTCCTGCTTTCTTTGTGCTAGAATCAATTTCAAGATCTGTTATGGTAACACTTTCTATATCTTCAGACCTAACGTAAGAAAAAAAATTGGAAATTACAAAGAATTTTAGAAAAAAATTCAATAAGAGCAGATTAGTTTTAATTTCACTCTTTGTGAAAATGTGTTAGTCAATACTTGGCATAAGAGTTGGTTATGTTAAGAATTGTTGAAAATTGCCTCTAGGGATAATTGGATAAAACATAAGAATCATTATTCCAGATTTAATTGGATTTCATTTCAAAATAGTTGACATAGATTGTTATTTACTTAAAAAATATAATGTGAAGATGAGCTTTTTTCAATTCTTCTAATTCCGATTCAAAATTTTAAAAAAATAAGGAGGCAAACTTTATTTCATCATGGGTCTCAAAACAGAAAAACAAAAATTACTGAGAAGACATCATATAGGTTGAAGACAGAGTGGTGAGCAAGGAAGGAACTCGCTTAGTATAATTGCAAATCAATCAAAAGAAAATTATGTGCAAAAAAACTTTTTGAAGAAAGATTATTTTTTTGCTTTAAGGTTTTTTTTTATTACAGACAAAACAAGGAGAGAAACATGTGTAAATTAAAAAAATTTAAAAAAAAACTACTTCATAAGTTATAGGGGGAAAAAGATGCAAATAAGAACACTTCTTAAGTTTTAAGAGAATAATAATATTCATACAGCAACAGATAGAATTTTTCCCCCTATTGCAAGAGTGTTTTAAAAATACATATGAACAAATTAAATTGGCTTTTTAAAATTCAAATTAAAACTTATTTTAGATTAATCCTGATTTCTTACTCAGCAAATAAGTTTTGTAAAAAATAATACACTAAGCAGAATATTTGAGTTTTAAAACTAAACTAAGAAACCAATCTTTTTGAGGTGAAGTAATGATTCAGTAAAACACAAAATACACTTACTCAAGGGAAGAATTTAGGTAATCATCAGACATCTTCTGAAAGAAAAATGTACAAAACTGTTAATTATGAGATTTTTTACAAAACTTGTTAATCAGAAATTTTATTTGCTTCTATAAAACCACAAATTCCATAAATTCCAAGAAAAAAATTTTTTACACACACCCATATCATATATAACACTGTTTAAACTTATTTTTTGAACTGTACAATGGGTTACCTAAACTATACAGTGTTGTAAAAGATAAAGTAAGTAATGTTACACCACACAATAGTTTGATTTTTAACACTGAATTTTTTAACTTCCTATATTAGGAGTGCACAACTTTTTAGACTGAAGGGCCACAAGCATAATTAGTCATGTTAGTGGCAAAATTTTCAAGTTGCAATAAAATATCAATTAAAATGTAAGGATTCGAGATACTAAGTACATATGCATGCAACTGACAAAAAAATTATGAAAAAATAATATTAACCATGAAACAAGCACAAATAGTATCAAAAACTGTTTATTTAAAAGCACGATAACATTGTAGTTAAAAGTTTACAGAATCCTCATGCATGCATATCTTTTAATTTACAAATTAGAAATAAAATAGTGCTTTATTTATATCATTGTTATTTCTTTTCCATTTTTGCCCCAGTTTTTTTACAGTGCCATTGCAAATATACGAACACTGGGAATGAATAAAACTTTTTGAATAACGCTTAGAAATTAAAAAATAATCATTTCAAATATTCAGTGGACAGATTTTTACACATCTAAACTGGAATACAGAATAAATCGGGGGTCTGTCCAGACATTTTGTGAAAGGTCCGGTTTTTGTAAAATTATGAAAAAATTACTCGTAATTAGTGAATATAAAATAAATGTTAAGACACATTCTTTCAACCAGGGTCCTACTTTTGTGAATGTGTGAAAATAGGGTCCTGTTATAGCAGAAAAATTTTTCAGGGAGTTTTAAAATTGTAAAGAGATACAAGTTTATGCTCAACACTGTAAAATTATAAATTTAAACAATTAAATTTTAAAAAATAAACAGCAATCGCTGCTACTAAATTAGAGATGCAACATAGAAATATTTGGTATTTAGCCTATACTGTTGAATGCGGAATATTCATTTCAGACAAATAAAAGCGTCTGTCAAAGGCAAAACTTAGTTCGTTCACATCTATATTTCTTGCCCCCCCCCCTTCCTGGGAAGGGTTTATCCGATTAACAAATCAATAATAAAGATAAACACATTTGTGAAGGGTCCGCTATTATGAAATCTTGTTTTGTGAAGGGTCCGTTAACCGACCCAAATTTCTTCTAAACAGACCCCTGTAAATTCTAAGTTATGGTAACTTCAAGACAGTGAACTAAAATATTAAACTTTACCCAGGACAAACCACAAGATATTTTTCGCTTTTCTAAAATCGCTATCGCACTTTAGCTATAGTGATTGGAACTAACAGATATCAATACTGAAATATCTCCATAACAACTACTCCGAAGATAATAAATGAAAGGAATTTCTCGTTTTAACGCATTTAGAATTGAGGAGAAAAGTTTGCAATCACCTGATAACTAATATACTATTAATTCCGTATCCTGATCTGTGGCAGAATAATCGCCAAGTCTTGGCAACTTCCAGGCAGCGGCCGGCGAGAAATTAAAAAAACATCACAGAAAGGGACCAACTTGAAGTGTATAACTCATAGCCACCCCCAAGCAAACATCCACATGTTTTGTTTTTTTTTTTAAATTTAGAAGTTTAAATTTAAAATCTATTTGGCACCTTGGCGATTGTAGTTGGCTCAACAGATCAGGTTACGGAAATATCAATAGAAGGAGTATTTATAAAATGTTATGGAAATTTAGCAATCATTTGTTGCCAAAATTCTAAGGGCAAATAACCCATTTAAACAAAAATTTATTAAATACATGATATAAATTTGTTAATTCACTTATGCAAGACGATTAATATTCGAAGTTTCTACCTCTTTATACCATTTTTTACATGAAAAAAACAAAACTTTCCCCTTTTAAAATGTACTTAACAAGTATGCTAACAAATTTAGAATTTTAAGATAAAATGCCAAGTATCAAGCTTAAACTTTTGTGTTACCTAATTTTTTTATGTTAAATAACCAGAAGAAAATTTATTTTGACACTATTTGATTGGAGATTTATTTTTCTTAACTTCATAAAATATTAAAATGTTGTCATTGCATTTCAAACTTTTAAAATAAATTATTTTTGCGAGTTAAGATATTAAAATATTTCTTTTTGAAAATACGTAATAAATATTTATATAGATTTGTAATATTAAAAACAATATGTTTCTATTTGAATTAAGGTTTCTTATCCAATATCAAATATTGCCTTTAATATTAGATATACTTGCCTTTAATATTAGTATGTGAAATCACTAATATTAAAGGCAAGTTCAAACCAAAACATTACGTTACGTAATTTGTGGTCGAGAAATACAGTTCCACATTATTCGACCTACATGCGTTTAATATAGGGCAAGGTCAATATACTTCATGACCAACTTAATTCACATATTATTGAAGATAAAAACGAAACTAAAGGGTAAAATTTTACAACAAAAAAATAAATTTAAAACAATGTAATAAAAAAATAGCAATTTTACGCATTTTTTAAAAAAACGTATGAAACAGATAATTAAGTAACAAAATTAAAACTAAAACTCATAGTCAATGACCTTGATTGAGAAAATTTTTATATTTGAAAGTTATATAAATTTTTTTAAAAATTGAGGAAAGTTGTTTGATAGAATTTTTAGATAAGATAAAAGAAATTGAAAGTAAAATAATTAGGCCTACCTGTCCATCATCTTCAAATTCATCATCCTCTGTATCTTCGTCATAGATATATGACTCGTGTAGCTCTAAGTCAAAAACGTCAGTCATATTCGCTGAACGAGGGTAAATCAGTAGTTATATATTCTTATAAAAAATTTATTTAAAAATTATTTATCACTCCCGACGTTTCGAAATATATTTTCGAGACGTTGCGAGAAGGAAGAAAGTGAAAGACGAAAACAAAACTTTCACTTGGTTTAGCTGTCAACTCCTGATTGAGATAAACGTAGTGCGGTAGCCGAGTTAATCTGATCAGTTAGTTGCAGTCAGCAGGGTTTTAATGTGACAGAAATAAAAATCTTAATCAGCTTATTGGTTTTTAGTTTTTCAATTACTAATTGCGGCTGCCTAATTAAACTAATATAACTAATAACCTGCACTTTTCCTTACTCTCAGAGAACAGAATTGATTCCCTAAAAAACATATTTTGTTAAAATTGTAGTTCATTTACGTCGCAACGGGCTATTGGTGACGGTCTGGGAAACATCCCTGGCCCTGAGGATGATCCGAAAACATGCCATCACAATTTAGATCCTCTGCAAAGGGAATGGCACTCCCGCTTCGGCAGCTCCCGATGAACAGTTTAGCGAGTACCAATACCGCACACCCTCGGTCCCTACGCAGACTGATCCAACTGGTCACCCACCCGCACACTGACCGCAGCCAGTGATGCTTGACTTCGGTGATCTGCTGGAAACCGTGTCTTAACGATCAGTCCACTGCGGTACTATTTTGTTAAATGACAATTAAATAAAGCTGTTACATTACCTGGAACTAGTATTTCGTGTAAGCACATTCAGCAAGACAAGAGTATAATCAAAACTGAGGACTTCGGTACCCTGCTCTCAAAATTTGACAGCGATCGATCTCAATCATGCGTTCTACCAGAAAATATCTTATTACAAGAAATCCCGTTGAAGCACTCTCTTACCGTTTGCATCGAAAGCTGTTGCAAAAAATAAGGAATTTTTGGGTTTGTAGAAGACGAGTCTTCGAGTCCAATTTATGACACGCCAATTCCAGCTTAAGTGAAATTTTAGTTTAATCTTAATTTCCCTTAATCTAGACGTATATACGGCCATCCCCTACTTTTGCAGTTGCCTAATATAATTAAACAATCATTGCTAAATGTATCAAATTAAACAATCTACCTAAAATTGTCCTTCCAAATGGCCAACCTACCTCTTCGGAGTATCACAGCAAAGAATCATAATTATGTTTACTGAGGTGGGAGTCTCCCAGAAGATGCTTTGGCGTATCCAACTCGAGAGGGAGAAGCAAGGTTTCATGAGTTTAAAAGCAACCCCCTTGTATTTTTCTTGGTAGGTAGGTATTTTATTTACGTCGCACTAGAGCTTCACTATGGGCCATTAGCGGACGGTGTGGGAATGATCCGAATGTGAGGATGATCCGAAGACATGCCATCGCAATTTTGAACCTCTGCAGAGTGGATGGCTGCCCTGCTTTGGTAGCCCGACGACCTGCGCACGAAGTCAAGCACTTTACGATAGAACAGTTTAACGAGCACCAATACCTTACACCCTCGGTCCCTTTTGCAGGCTGATCAAAGTGGTCACCCACCCGCTTACTGACCGCAGCCCAGGGCTCGAAGAAAGTCAGAAATTTTACCCGTCCCCGAGGACGGCTTGTCCAACAATGTACCCGTCCTCCTTTGAAACTAACCCGTAGCTTCTAAATAAATAAAAATATAATTTTCCCTTATTTATTACAAACATTTATATACATTGCACATTAAATTAGTAGTTACTAGGATTACAAATACTAGGTTACTATTAGTAAAACCTAGTATTTCTTTTATGAAATAATTTATTTCTTTTATGAAATAATTTAAATGACTAAGGTCAAGTTATCTGGAATGTCAATTTATCTGAGGGTACTTCGTTTTTTAAATGAAACAAATATGACGTTTGCCAGTTCCACAATCAAGCCAATGATTTACGGAGGTTTCTGAACAGAAATCTGAAAGGGGTTTCTCATTTAGGTGGATGTTCATAATTGCGTTTAACGCTTCTTGTTTAAGACCAGTACGTAATGTGTTTTTTTGTAAGCTCATTGCTGAAAAGCCTTCTTCAACCACTGCAGTACTCACAGACAGAGAAAACATCAATTCCACCAAGCGCAGTATGTTGCTGTGTTTCTAGATTAGAGGGTCATTTTAGAAGTGAGAGCCCTGCCGCAGCCCTAACTGACCGCAGCCTTGACTTCAGTGCTCTACTGGGAATCGTGTCTTTTACGATCAGCCCACTGCGGGACTTCGTCAGTTTAAGTCCACAAATTCCTGTTCTACTTACGCGACTGTCTCTAAAACAGACCTCTTCTCTAAAGTTGGAAATAAAAAAGGCTGTTGTCAGGAACGTCTTGTTGGAATTATTTATTTCCTTTAATGCTAAATTATAAGTGTGCTTAAACTATTAAAATATATCCTTTTTTGAAAATTTGCTTAGAGTAATTGATAATTAGCACTTCATCTCCAGAACCACACTCTTCGAGGAAGAAGTTCTGCTTCCTGCGCGATGAAGACAATGATATTACAATTCTGAACCAGTTCCTCTACTTTCAGCTAATTTTGTCACTAAATCAATACACTACAGCAATATATCCTCATAAGACTGTGCATCGGAACAACCACAACATGCTACTCCTGTCTCATCTCAAACATAGTACCATTGGATAAACTGCAGCTAAGGCTACAACTACACCGGTTCACTACAATAAAGAGTTCATCCATTAAAATCCCTCATTCTAGATAAAACATTGACACCGTGAAGATGGACAAACGCTTTGTTAAAAGGACTCCAAGTAGTCCACAGGAGCAGATTCAATTCGCACCAAAATTCCTCTTTTAACAGTGCTACCGACACTTTTTTGGAATTTACATCACTGTGCGTCAATTCCCTGTAAAAAAAATATATAATAAATAAAGTTGGCAATACTCTCTCTCCTACTCGACAAGGTGGTACTCCTACCTTTCCTTCTTCGTAGGGAAGCAAAATTATGGAAGGAAGCAAACCGTTCCTGCAATCCGAATCTATGAGTCAAGTGCAAAAGATCAGTTTCTCTTTTCAGACGAATCATCTAAAGAATCACAAAAGTATTGGTCCTAGTTATGTGACTATCATCGGGACCCGCTCATAATATTTTTAAATTACTAAAAAAATCTGCAACGTTGTCAATCAGTAATTGCTGACTCTCATTGCATCTTAAATCAGGGCACACAACATATTTCTGATTCAAGACAACAGGCAATTTTACGCCAGGAATTCGAAAGAAAAACATATTTCTTATAACCTGCGTTCTCTGAAGACGCCTTTTCATCTAGCAGTGTTAAAGTCATCCATCAGTCGGACCAAATTAGCATCCACTGGCCCCAATCAAAATGTTTAAAAGTGCATAAAGGTCTTGACGATGAGTCAGCACATATCTTACTCTCCCGTATGAATACATCGTGATTGCTGGGCCAAATTCCCTCCGACTGGAAAGCTGCATCGATTCTTCCCTTAGTCAAATCTGGGAAGACTAGACATCCGATTTTCCTCATATAAATCGAGTGCACTAAACAGTGTGCCATGCAAAACTATGGACCATTATTTTCGGTACTCTTAATTAAACCAAGCTTTTCCTTTAAGTGTATTTCTAGACATCACTCAGGCATATGATCATGCCTGGAATAATATTTTGACATTCAAACTCCTTTAACAAAATATTCCTGGAATCCCGTACAAGTGGTTAAGCGATTTCTATTTCTGTAGGGAATTGGAGAAAGCCTTTCTCCTCTTAATGGGGTGTTCCTCATAGCTCAGTGCTGTCGCCTTTCTTTTTTACAAGAGTGTAATGTTCTCCTTGAACGAGTTATGTGCTTTATCTACGCAGACGACTGTTTTCTCCTCGTTTACACATCATGAATCCAAACATTACTACGGAAGCTGAACCTGGTTCTTTTTCGCCTTCAACAATTTTTATCCCAGTGGCTTCTTTCGGTTATTATTAAATGTCAAATTATAGATTTTCATTGCATAGAAGGATTTCAGTTCTTTAACTCCATGACACCGATATTCTATGGATCTCACACATTTGCATTTTGAAATCGCGTGAATATCAATCCCGTAGTCTAATTTTTAGATCATATATAAATACGAAAATCGATGTTTTATAGTACAACCGCATAAACGAATCACAACATTGGATTTTAAATTCGCGTGCATACGGATCGCTACATAGGATTTTAAAAACGCGTAAATACAAATCGCGATATTGGATTTTTAAATCTCGTAAATAAGAATCCCTGGCCACGTCTAGACTCCTTTTCAAAAGTTGTATTATTATCTAATTTTAAGGCCACACTTCAAGCAATTGATGTACCCAGCCGCTCTAAAACTGTGTGTCTTTGAAAACAAAATGAATTCAGAAAAAGTACGTTTTTGTGTCTGATTTCATAACTTAAAATATCACCCGAGCTAATTAGTTAGCATATTTAAGGTCACCCCTCGAGCCATTAAGATGGAGTCCAAGAACTTACAGACCCCATCTTTAGATCAAACTATTCATGGAGGTCCGTTTTTTATTTTGGGCACAGTACATCTAAAACTTGTGCCAAATATTGGAATTAGAAATCAATATTTCTTTTCTGTGTAATTAAGACAAATAAACCTGGCTGTACATAAATGCAATGATGTTCTACATTTAAAGTTTGTAATAACTGAGAGAGAGGGATGCATGATCGTTAATTAATAATTGTTCAACATATAATCAAGATACTTATTCAGAAAATAAGAGCTTTCTGGAGAACTACAAAAATTTTAACAAAGTGGTTGGTGAATAATTGAATAAGATTTTCTCTTAAAGAAGTTTGAGTTGATTAATTCCTTATCTTGAGTAATATCAGGTTAAAATAATTTTAAAAGCTACCATTCCTAAAAATTGTACCAAATTGAGTTAATTGTCTGATGGAAGCTATATCAGATAAAGAAAAGTACAAAAATACTAAAAATGCCCCAATTTATTCTGGAATACAAATGCAAAATGGCAATGCAGGGACACATCACCAGTACAAAAATTGCAATAACTAGCAATAAATATTTTGATACAAATGCTGTATATAAATGTACTAGTTCTAATCCAATATAAAACATTTTAACTTGTAAAATTCAGTAAAATTTAATTTTGATCTATATCATCTATCTGTACAGACATTTAACTTTATAGAACAAAAAATGATTTTTCTTTGCTTAGCCAAATAAATACATATAAGAGATAGCACAAATGTGAAACGTTTATTTATATCTCTAAAATGATTTAAACACTAAAAAGGAAACAAGATTGTAAAGATCTTTTAAAAAAAAAATAAATTTATATTAAGTTACTATTGTGTACACATCAAGTAGAAATATGATCCTTCATCAAGAACATAAGAGAAAATTTTAAAAATTACATAAAATATTTTACTGGATAAGTTTTGATAGTAATAAAATTACTAAAACTACCATTAGAAAGAGATATATTCTGTAGAATATAAGATATTTGAGAACTGTTTTTAATACAGATATAAAGAATTAGAAAATTAAAACACCTCTGTCATTACAGTAGTAATGTATTTTCATTATTTATTATGCATATTCATTATTTTTAAAACCATAATTGGTAGTAAAAGAACAACATTTTAATCAAAAATAATTTATATCCTTTATAATAATTTATAAAATAATTGTAAAAACTAAAGATTTTTTTTAAAAATAAATAAAAAAATTTTAAAAATGAAGTTAAATATTTATAAGTAAATAATTATAAGTTATTGACAATTTATTTTTTTAAATTTAGCTAAAAATAAAATAGTTCATAATTTCTCCACAGCCTCTTATTATAATCATCACCCTATTTGATTATTAGAGTAAATTGCCATCAAAATTTTTAATAATTTATAAAAGAGTGTCCTAGTTATTTAATTTTGTTAACTGTTTAATAAGACAATTTAAACAAATTTTAATTCAAAAACAGATTTAATAAAATCAAAATAAAGTACATGTATAAGCCAAGGACAGATCTTCATAAAACATTAAAAAAAAAAAAACTTAGACAATGATTTTGAATGGAACCAAAGTAGACAAACTTATTACCTTTAAAAACACACATACATGATAAAAACAAATTTATATCAAGTTGTGTAATAATGAATAATAATAATAAAAAGAATCGCAATTCCCAATCAAATGCAAAACCTAGAAATACAAAGCAAAGACAAGTAAAGTGTTCAAATTAATAGGCATTAGGCAGATACAATTAAGCAACAGTAACTTAGTATTTACATTTACACATAAATTTCTCCAACAATAGCAATTTCTATATAACATGGATGGATAAAACTTTAAACAATTTTCAGCTGGGGGGAAAAATAATGTACAAATTTTACAACAAGTTAAAGGCACTTCAATATTTCTAAATGCAAATTTTAAGCTAATATACAACTGAACATAACTGCCAATGTCTAAGATAAATATTTTGTTTTAATTACAAAAATTTAGCTTTACTTTTAAATTTGAAATATTTTATTTCATTTGTAATGATAAAAAGATCCATAGAAGACAATCTTTAGTTGAAGATTATAGGCTAAAAAAACCTCAAAATATGCCAAGATCAAGCTTGGCAAAGACTTTGGTCCTTTCTCTCCAAAAATTCCCAGGCAAAATAACAGAAAAAAAAAATTTAAAATAAATATAGCCAGTTGTCAAATTAGGAGCTAAATTTAGATATCTTTCAGTTTAATAGATATCCAATTGAAAGAATTGATCACCTACTTTTACAGTAACATTTAGTATTCATTCCTATCTATAATCTAATATTTTAAAAAGAAAAAAACTTTTTCTATACAATAACTAAGACACTATTAATCAGGAGCAGAAAAAAAATTAAAGAAATTTTTAGAAGTTCTTACTAATGGTTAAAAAAAAAAAAAAAAAAAAAAAAGACTACATTTACTTAAATATTTTTTAAATTTATTTTTTTTAGTTTTGCTGAAAATTCTGGGAGAAAGGAGGAAGTTGTGAAGCTTGACCCATTTCAGTACAATACAATCAACCCTGGTTAAGGTGGTTGGACTTTACCACATCAGTTTAGCTGCCACTCATTCAAGAGATTTTAAATCAATGCAATTAAGCTTTTCAGTTTTAAATGTATTTTTTTTTACACACAAGCATTACTTGGGATTTAGAATTAACAATTAAAAACTAATAGTTGTATCACATATTAGAAATAATTTGTATAAAGCTATGACAGTGTCGATAAAACTATTAAAAAAGTTCATAAGAAGTTTTCTAAAATTTATCATTCTATGAAATAAAAGAAAAAAATTCACCTGATATTAATTACAAATATACACTGATGAACACGTAAAAACAACCATTACAAAGTTCAGATTAAATCAATTAGAGAAAATAAAATTAGATTTGAAAGGGCATCTATATTTTTAATTAAAAAAATATATAAAATATTCGAATTACAAACAGAATCTTAAAATTCAATTATAAATTTCAAATCACACTTTGCAGAAAAACTTATAATCAAAGTTAACAGAGATCGCTTAAGAGACTAGAAATTTTAAAATTTCATATTCCATTACAGTAAACTTTCAACAGGGTTGGGTGTTGGTTCATCTTTTACTACTTTTTCTTCCTCTTCAGAGTTACATCCATTTTCCATAGGAGTCTTTTCATGAACAGCATCAGTAGTAGCGCAATCAGCCAATTCTTTAGTAGAAATTTCCACATCATTGACTTCCCGTAAAAGCTTTTCCTCTTCAGAAGGTGTTGATTCATTTGTATTTTTATCATCAGCTTCAACTATTTGGTTGGTTTTCTGTATTGCTTTTTTGGAAAATGATGGTAAATGCTTGGTTGTAAGTTTAGTAGAATCTGTGGCTACTGGTTTGGCTAAATCTCTGGTAGGTTTAACTTGACTATTGTTTCTAGGAGCAAGACGAGATATTTGAGTCTTTGGCACATTTTTAATCAACTCTCTTTTCGAAGGAACATTAGGTTTTGGTGCAGTTTTGCTAATCCCAGAAGCGGAAGATTTAAGAGTACTATTGACATTTGAAGAAATTCCTTTGCTTGGGATCTTTGGAAGAGGGCTGTTTTTCTCACTTAATTGCTTGTTAGATAGCTCTTTGGTTTCCTTAATTTCAGGCTTTTTCAAAGTGGATGAAACAGTTTGTCTTAAAGTTGTAGATGTTTGCTTTGGTTTGGATTCAAACGAAGATTTTGGTAAAGTAGTTGACTTTGTAGCTGATAAAGCTCTGTTAGGAACTGTTGCAGTTGCTGGACGATTCAAAGTAGTGCGAGCAGATGACAATGTACTAGTTTTGTTACTTTGAGTAGAAGGCTGCTTTCTAATTAAAGAACTTGTAGTATGAGTAGAAGTAGTACTAACTCCATTATTAGGTTTCACTTTGGTATTAATGGCTGAAGCAGGCTTCGTAGAAGTTTGTATTCGGCTTACGGACGATGTAACTCCAGATTTGTTTTGAGTCGGAGCATTTCGAGGAACAGTAGTGGGTCTAGACATTTTACTAGAGGGAATTGTATTTTTAGCAGCTGGAATTAGTTTTTTAGCTGTTGTAGATGTTCCAGTAATTGGAACTTTTGCTTTGTCAGTTGTCTTACTTGCGATTGTTGACGTCGGCTTAGACAATTTGCTTCTAACTTCTAGAGGCTTCTTTTCTGCAAGTAATTTTTTATTTTTTTCCACACCAACAGTGCTTTTAACTTTGCTTTTGATATCAGTAGATTTTTGTGCATCTCTTTTTAACTTTGGGGTTTCTTGCTTAGAGGATTTCTCAGAAGATTTATTTTTCTCACCAGCCGCATTGCCTTTCATATAACTCCAACCACCGTCCTTTTCAGAATCAGAATCAACATCTTCAGTGACACCTTCTGCTTCTGGAACACCAACTGGCACAGACTGCAAATCAACAGCAACTGTTTCAACATGACATTCTTCTGAGTGATCTGTAGGTAACACAGCTGCTGCTGTATCATCGACAAGAGGTAACGATACTCCTCCCAAAATTAAAGCAACTTCTGGTTTCTTATCATCTGGTAATTGTACAGCATTTTCTTCTTTTATGTCAGATTTTGGTGGCTCTCTACGAACCTGGTCATCATGAATTGAAACACTTGAGGAATCTGTAACTGGAGAACTCTCTGTAACACACAATTCATTTACAATGCTATTACTTTCAACAGGAATATCAGTTCCTATGCACCCAGTCTTTAAATCTAGAAGATCATTATTAACTATATCTGAGGAGATATCAATTAATTCAATATTTTGAGTGTTTTGAATTAAAGAAATTTCAGAGTTACAAACATCTTCATCACCATGTTTAAGAAAATCTTTGTCATTTTCATTTGAACTAGCGTTTTCTATTTCTAGAAACTCTCCTAAGGGAGACTTTTCATCTGAAACTTCAATAACAATATCTTGTGAAAATACTTCAATAATACTTTCCTCTGTTTTATTTTCTTCAGTTTTTAAAACATCAAATAAATTTTGTGCTGAAATATTTTCTTTCAATTCAGTGTTTACAAAGTTATCAATTATTTGTTGTGAAGATCTATTCATTCGTAGATCCTCCTTAATCAATAAATTTTTATTCTCTGGTGTGTCAAATTCACCAAATGCAGAATTATTTACGAGCGAGATATCCATATCAGCTATTAAAGATAAGTTTTCACTACGCATCTCAGATTTAGCAGGTACTGGTAGTTTTGTAGCGCCGTCTAAATCAGTTGATGCTAAAGTAAGCTCATTAACAGATACTTGAGCCTTTTCAATTATAGATGAGCTGCATGTAGTGGGTTCTATGTTATCCTTAGTTTCAGTAGAAATAGTTTCTGACATTATAAGCTCTTTCTCTTTATTAAAAGTTAAGCCTGTATTTCCCATAACAGAGGTTAAATCAGATGCAGAAGGACAAATATTAACCAAGTTACATTCAACAGTTTCAGACGGAATAAAAGATTTCATAACAAAAGGTTCTGCATATGGATTCAGTTTTTGGGGGCTCATGTGAACTTTGGTTTCATTAAATTCTTTTTCAGAAATACACTTCACAGCGGTTTCAATGGCATTGGATACAACAGTGGATGCAATATCAACAGCTTCCTCTGGTGACAATTCTTCATTTAACAGAATGTTTTTATCATTTTCAGAAATAATTTCAGCTGTTTTTTGATCCTTAAAATCCTCAAATGGAGAATTAGTGCTAGGAGAAACAAGTTCAAATTTTTGAGCTAAATTGGCTGAACAAATATTCTCAAATTGCTGAGAAGCCATCACATCATCAATTGGAGGAGTTGGAAGTTCACTGAGAGCAGTTGCTTCAGGTGCCACAACAGTATGTACAGGCTTTTCAGAAAGCTTCTCAAAATTAGAAGCATGATAAGTTTCTACATAATCTGTAAACGAATCTCCCAAACCAGCAGCACTCAAAACGTTAGCTGTGTTTTTTAATTTCTTTATCGATGAATAATTAAACTCCAGTACATTTGGCTTACATATAGGTGTACTTGTTACCTTATCAATCAATGATTTTTCCTCACCATTTTCAAAAAAATTCATCTGAAAGTTTGCTTTGGATAAATTAGGAATATACTTCTGGGCAGCCTCTTTTATAAGCTGGATATCTCTAAGAAAGATAACAACAGCAGTTATGTTATCTTCAGAACCTTGAAGTTTTGATTGATGTACCAGTTTTGCAGCCATTGTGTCAAAAGGATCATCTTGCCCATTCTCCAATAAATTATAATACAAAGCAGCAACCACATCTTCTGGTGACATAACATCCCACACGCCATCACACGCTAAAATTAAGAAATCCTCATTGCCCTCTAGGTTAACAACTGTTATTTCTGGCTCGCTGCTAATGAAAGGTTTATGATCAGCATCACCTAAAAATAAAGTCAAATGTTTAAAATCAAATTTAAAAAATAAATAAATTACAAAACAAAATAGTTTGTAACTAATAAACTATTATAATGCTAAGAATATTAGAATGAATAAAACTTTGCCTTTAAACTTGCGATTATATTTCCTAAATGATAAGTCAAAATTCGCTTAACCATGGATGACAAACTGTCGTTTTTCATATAATCTATTTTCATAGTTTTATTTTATTTTTTATAAAAAAACGTGAATTTAAAGAAAAATTAACCTTTAGAATAAAATTGAATTTTTTACGACCTGGATTATTGATATTGCATTGAATTTTCATTTAGTTTGAATTGAAAAATTATTTTTATTTATTGTGTTGCTTTTGAGACTTAATTTTAATAAAAAGTCAAATAATCTGAGAAGTTTGAAGATGAGAAAATTACATATAGTTATGACTTGACCTTGCATTAAGCAATTCATGTATCAATCTTTTGTAAAAACTTACGAGTCACTCTGGCATATTACTCTGACAATTGACTAAATTTAAAATTTAATTGAAATAAAAATCATGCAGATTTATATTACATGCAGTTACTAGTTATTTTAATTAGTTTTCTAGTTTGTTATATACCGTATATTCCGGCGTATAATGCGCACCCGTAATTTCCAATAACTTTTTTTTTAATTTTAAGATATACTCTTCGTATAACGCGCACGAAAATTTGTATTGTACATATTCAATATCTCGTCTAATATCTATAGAAAACCAGAAAGCCTTTTAGTGTGGGACATGTTTAGGTCCCACCTTACAGATAATACAAAAAAATTGTTGAAAGAATGTAACACCGATATGGCAGTTATTCCGGACGGATTGACACCATTAGTTCAGCCATTGGACGTCTGCTTTTAAAGCCAATTTAAAAAAAAACAGTGGAACACTTAGATGATGGAGGACGAGAAAACCTTTACGAAAGGAGGACAAATGCGTCATGCAAGTTTGGAAACAGTGTGCGAATGGATATTAAAAGGATGGGATGAAATAAAGCCTGAGATGGTTAGAAAATTATTTAAAAAAAAAACAGCATTTCAAATAATGTGGACGGATCAGAAGATGACTGTTTATTTATGGATGAGGGTAACACAGATGAAGACGAAACAGATTGTGATGACGTGCCTGAAGAAATAACGGAAGACGAATATAATGAACTATTTACGTAATAACGAAAATCAATAAAGTATATAGGTAAAGGTATGCTATTTCTTTAAAATAAAAGTATTTTTCTATATTTAAATTTTTTTAATCTATAATTTTTTATATTCGGCGTATACCGCGCACCCGTAAATTCCAATGTTATTTTTTGTATTAAAAGTGCGTGTTATACACCAGAATATACAGTAATTAGTTACTTTTATTTTTTGAGGGAGTGAAACTTTGCACACAATTATGTAATACGATAGCTTGCAATTGGAATAAACATTAAAAACACCAAGAAAAAGAATTTTAATTTATATATGTTATAGATACCAAATTATACAAGCAACAGATTCATAGCTGCATTATAAGATTTTTAAAGTTCTAGTTTCAAGTTGGCCCAACTTAAAAAAAAACTGGCTGGGTTTTTGATATCAGGCGCCTATCAACTAATCCTCTAGCATATGGAATTAGCTTAACAAGGAATGGGATTTTATTAACTGAAAACTGAATCAATTATAACTATTAAAAAAAAAAAGAAGACTTATATCACTACTGCTCTACAAAAATAAAGAATGCATAGATATTATATATTTCGTAAGATTCAAAGTACATTTGCAAAATTTATTTTCACTTTGTGCTTTTCCAGTTTGACTAACATCTCATTTGCAATTTAACACTGAGCTTATAAGCAAAGTATAATTTACCGATTGCTCTGGTGACTGCGAGCATTCCATTCACTCTGTAAGTTCCAATAAATTGTATGCTTCCACCAAGATCTTCAACTCTTTTTTTTTCATCCTATTAATAGACACTATAAATTATTTTCAATTTAAAAAAATAATACTCAAGATTGATGAAAAAAATTACACTTACTTCTCTGTCAGGTTTATGTGGACTTGTCACAATAGCAGGTATTCCTTCTTTCACCAAAACTGCTTGAGAATCACCTACCCAGGATAAGTAAAATGTTCTTTCTCTAAATAAGGCACACACAGCAGTTGTCCCACTTTTTAAATTCTAAAAAAATAATTTAGTTACAAGTAGAATAAAACAAAAAATATTTTGTAGCAAAAAGAGTTATCACAGTAGCTATGTTTGAAAAGATGTTGCAACTAAGTTTTAATGGGGCAAAAAAAAAAAAACATAACATTTAAATAATTTACTATCTTAGAAATTATTGGTATAATCAAATGTAAATTTGAAATAAATAAAAAAGTTGAAGCAAACTGTTAAGTATTGTATTTTCCTCATTCATATTAAATGGTAAAATGTTGAGAAGAAAATGAAAAGAGAAACTAACCTGTGATGTTATTTAATCAAATGAGATTTTGTTTCCAGTGTTTGTTTTCTTTTACACTGAATCTAATGAGACTCATGATCTACAATTAGACATGTAGTTTGGAAGGTACTAGTACAAAATTGTTAATAAATCAATCCCTGATAATTTCTAAACTATCAGTCAGTTTGTCTCTTGTTTGGACTATCAATCTAGAGTATAAAAACTTACCCCCTAGTTTAGGGGTGCTCAACCTGCGGCCCGCGGGCCAAATGCGGCCCGCCAACCCTCGATGTGCGGCCCGCGGCCGCAATCTGAACAAAATGAAAAAAAAAATTAAATATTTGTTTTTGAAAAATAATAAAAAAAATTCGGTAATTTAAATTTACACTTTTAAGTTTTTGACGCACCCAATCTCAATCAATGTAGTTTTTCGATGGTTAACGCTACGGATTTCAGCATAGTTTTAAAAATCCCAATATTTTTAATACATCATTATTACGATTTACGAATTTTAATTACCACTTTTGACGCTTTTCGTATGTGCCGATTCCAATGACTTTTCGGTAGTTATTGCTACCCATTTTCAAGTAGTTTCTGAAATAGCGATTTTTGAAAGTTATGAAACGCTTTATTTGTGCAAACTTCATGGAAAATCTAAATGACTTTAGATCCTTTCTTCAACAGTTATTGCTGCACATTTCCGCCCGGTTTTTAAAACTTCGATATTTTAGCACGATATTATTACGAATCGCGAGTAAAGAATCGCTCATTTAGATAACCATTTTTTGACATGGCTTATTTGTAACGATTTTATCGCAAATCAAATTATTTTTCAATCGTTATTTTAGAAATTATTGCTACACATTTCTACAAGGTTTTGAAAGTACCGATATTTTTTATACGCTATTGCGACATTTTAATTTCAAATCTCGCATTTAAATTACATAAAATTTTGATGGACTTTATTTACTCCAATTTCATCTAAAATATTAAAGTATTTTGGTTATTGTTTTAGTAGTTATTACGTTTTCCCCGTGATTTAAAAAGATTATGATATTTTTAATACTTTGACAGCAAGCGAGTTTTGAATCGCGCATTAAAATAATTATTTTTTACGTGCTCTGTTTGTGCCGATTTTATCATTTGCGTTGTACCGATTTTAACACGAATTTTTTAAGAGGTTTTTCGAAAGTGTTTTTTCTTCTTTCCCGTTATTGCTGCATTTTTATTTGTGATTTAGAATATACCTGATATTTTCACACAGTATTACAACTCGTGAAATTCGATTCAGCTTTAATTTTTTTTCGTAACTTAAAAAGTAATTACGTATCTTAGCCAAATCAACACCTTCCCAGGAAAAAAAAAACCTAGATGTGTTTAAATGCGGTCCGTTTTGCAAAAAAAAAAATAAAAAAATAAATAATTCAAAAAACGGCATAATTCTTTAGTCCCATGAACACGTGCAAGTTTAACAACACACATCGAACCTATTCTTTTTGTTGTCACATGTAATTTAAAAGTCATACATCGTAATTTGTATTTACGCTATCTGAAAATTGCGCATCGCATTTCGTATTAACATTAACGAGATTTAAAAATAATCCATCGCGTTTCGTATTTACGGGATTTAAAATCACATATCGCGATTCGTGTTCTGGCGTTTAAAATATCATCCGTTGCTACTTTTCTCGCAATTCATATGCACGCGTTTTAAAAACCATATATCGCGATTCATATTCATGCATTTTAAAAATCAAGTGTTGTGAGTAGTCCTTTCGCAATTTAAAAGCCACACGATTCGTATTCACGCGATTTGAAAAACAAGCATCGAGTTTTTTATTTACGCAATTTAAAAATCACACATGGCAATTCGTATTCAAGCAATTAAAAAATAACACATAGCAATTCGTATTCAAGCAATTAAAAAATAACACATCGCTATTTGTATTTCCGCGATTTAAAAACCCAGAAAGGAAGAACACCATCTAGGACAAATTCCAAAACTGATTATGTTATTTGCTCTAAGTTTAATACTACCCACAACAACAGCTTCTGTCGAAAGACTGTTTTCCAGAATGAATTTGGCCTGTTCAAAATTACAGAGTAGTCTTTAAATACAATCATTACATTTTCATTTAATGGCTCAAAAAATATCACATGATCAAGTAGATAAAATTATCACAATATTCAAAAATTTTGCAAATTACAGTATAACCATTAAGAAATTTTTTAAACCATTTTCTACCTTCTTGGAGCATTTTATATCATTTATGATTATATGCTGGGAAATGATTTGTATATCATTAAATTTTAACTGTATAAAAAATTTAATCAAGATAAGTTTCGAAAAGTAATGTAAATTTTATTGATTGTTAATTGATTGTGTATTAATTGTAAATAGTAAGTGTCATGTTAAAAATATATTCGTCATAAAAAGTTGTAAACAAGTATCTTAATAGTTTTTTATTATTAAGGAATATAGTTCCTTAAAATTTAATGTGTTTTCTTCTTTCTTTTTCTTTCCTCTCATAGCCTCTTATTATTAATTTAAAATAAAAATGTCTGAAAGATAAAGTACATTCCCTAATAAATGCTAAGTCTTATTTTCCACTTAAGGGGTTTAGTTTTAGTTTTAATCATTTTTAACCCTATAAACTTTCTTTAAATCAAAGTATTTAACTTGAATTTATATTAATGACTAGAATATTTATTTATTTGAAATTTAATTCTATGAAAAAAAAATTAACGTTAAAATTTATGTTTAAATGGACTTTTGTATTTTGTAATGTGATAAAAAAAATTTCAATTTTTCCATAGTTTTTTAATTATTTCAATTTATCTAAATTTTTTCCGATAAATTGATTCTGATTTTCGAATTCTGTTTTCCTTCTTAAGTAATCAGTTTTGCATTTTCTAATTTTAAACGTTTTAAAGTATTGTATTTTCTGCAAAGAGATTACAAGGTTAACCGACAAAAAGAATTTAGTGTTATATAAACAATGATGTTTATATAACAATCACCACCAACAATTGCTTTCAATATGTCGGTCTAAACACTTTGGCATGCGGCCCTTCATTGGTCAATCTGCTGTGCATGTGGCCCTTCACTGAAAAAGGTTGTGCACCCCTACCCTAGTTACATAAGGGCTGACACAGGCGCACAACGTAACAAGAAGAATGAAACCTGATTTTTCAGCTGGTCGGGCAAGGACAACTTCCAGTCAGGCTGGAATTCAAACGTGGGATGATAGGTTTAAAACAGCTACATGACACAAAGAACTCATTCTTACAAGGTGGGGTTCTTAACATCAGGAATGGTGTAAATTTGACAAACCTTTTTCAGTCCTCATGTATCTTTTTTACAGTGGTATAAAGTCAAAAATAGTTTTTACACATTATTGTAGCTTCTGAATTATTTATTCCGTTCATTCTTATATAGTTTCATAAATGTAGTATAAGAATCTGCATAGGAAACAATACATCATTTGTTTAAATAGCAATGCCAAATGCATAAATAGGTTCATTAAGAAAACAAATCTGATTTCGCAGTGATAAAAACCAAACTCAGGACATTTCACACAAAAATCATTGCAAAACAAGAACATTTTTGGTAATATACACTGATTCTAAAATTTTGTTTAGTGCTACATGTATCAATTTCTCAGGACATGATTTTTTTAAAAAAATTAATGACATGAAGCAAAATATGGTCAACAGTAAACATTTTTAAATAAAAATTTCCCCTCAGGCAAGAATTGGTTTTAAAAAAATGTGTGATTTCACGCATGTGGGGAAGATTCAAGGAATTTGAATTTTCTTGACTTGGGAAACACATTCCTCAACATAAAGAAAAAGATCAACTGAAATAAGTTTCAACCTTTTCATCATGGCAGTGTGACGCTACTGAACGGTGCACCAGGCAGCAAAGTTTGCACACAACATGTCGGTAAGCCAATGTTCGGAATTTCTTATTTAAATATTACATAAAAATACATATAGAGATTGTCCAAGAATAAATAAAGATGCAATTTAGGATAGTTAAAAAACCCTTGTAATTTAATTATGTATGATAAATATATGTATGTATGTAATATTAAAATATGTATGATAAATATTAAAACAAGGTATGACACACAAACAGATATTACTAATTTTACAATCCTACTTTAAATTTTCATCTTCTATTGTTTACACTGCAAGCTAAACTTTTTATATTGATTTTTTCTTACAGATTTATAAACAGAAGGAAAATATCTTTTGGACTTACAAGATATATATCAAGGGCATTCAAAATATACTTCTAGTTGTACTAATTCAATTTAGTTCAACAGAATACTGTTTATAGCATATTAGGCCAGCTATCAAATGGTAACACGCTAACACCAGCTAAATGTGATGCTCATACATACAAGGATTCAGGATAAATACAGAACTTATAACAAAAGTGTTAAAAAAAAAAAACTTCATTATGGTTAATTTTCTGCAACAATAAATTACTACAAAACTGAATCATACATAATCTGCTAAAGAATAAATATATGCAAAAATAAATTATATGAAAACTTAATACATCATAACATGGAAATAAAATCAAGAAAATTTAAAAAAAAGAAAGAAATTAATTTATTACTTAAAATAAAAAGACTTGCAAAAAACAAAACAAAATGTATAAGAAACTAAAAGCAATGCAGAGATTAGCAGTTCCTGAGAGGTTTCATTGTTTTACCTCAAGATTGGACACATTCGATTTGACTTAGCTACATAGAGAACTACATAGGAAATAATACCATAGGAAATAATACCTCATGTCTTCATAAATGATAATCATTAGAAGTATACAAACTTTTTTTCTTCCAATGCCCACCTGAAGAATGATCAAAATCATAAAGGCATCTGAGATGCAGATTTGTTGGCTACTCTTTCAGGGTCACCATATTAGGCGGGCCAACGTTGCTCCCACAGTAAGGACAGATAGTACAGAGAATGAAAGAACATCCTTGCCTTGTCCAGGATTTGAATCCAGAACATCTTTGATGCAAGGCCAGTTCCCTGATCTCTATACAGGCTGGTCAGCAAAGTATGTAAACTTGCCACCCCCTTTTTCCCCCTGCTCTCACTAAAACCCAAACAGCAAGGTTGTACAAATTTTTACCATTACCATGAAAAGTGTGTTAAATAGTTTGCCGCCTGAGCAATAAGACGGATAAGACAAGACATAATAATAATAATATGTCTTACCTCTTGAAAACATTTATTGCTAAAATTTTGATCTGTAATTTTATATGCTTCCGTAATTGCTGTTGGAGTATCTGTCAGAAAATCAGGATGATTTGCTATGTTGACATGCAGATGGGCTGAAGCATAACTAGCAGCATCTACACCAGAATGTCCATCAAAAACAGCATAATAACTATGAGGTGGACAATCCTGAAAACAAGAAGAGTACTTTGAATCTAGTGTTAGCTTTAAACTCAGAGTGACGTTCAAGGTAAACAAGAACATGTTATAAATTCTTAACAAGAAATTTTATGTAATATCACTGATAGATTCGTATAATTAATCACAGGTCAAACAGTATGGCATTTGAAAAATATTCCACTCATCTTGGAATGTTAGTGGTATGAAATTTTTTTTACATAAGATTATGCTACTAAATAAATAAAAAACTCAGAAAAAAAATATACATGACTTAGATATCAAAATTAACCATCAATTAGTGAATGATTCCCCACTTAACCCTTCTTTTAATCAATTCAGGAATTCAAAGTTTTCTTTTACTAAATTTTACATATTCTGAAGAGTGTTCAAGAAAAAACTTTTCAGAAGAGTAGTTACTGTTCGTCAACATGCTCAGACAAAAAATTTAAAAGCTTAAAACCCAGACTTGAAAGAAGTTCATATTTGTTATACACAAACTTTCAACAGAAATTTTAATTACAAATTTTATAGAAATAAAAAGATAGTAGAAAAAGGGGAAAAAATCCATTCTAATTTAGCTTCATTTAATTTTCACTCCCTTTAAATAAAATTAATGCATATCTTTCTACAAGAGAATCTCTAACAAATCTCTGTGACAAGATTAAGTAGCAAAATATTTCATTTCAGAAGACTAATATTTAGTAGTCATAAAAATTTTTTCAACTCATTTAAAAATTGCTTCCTGACAATTTTTACAATAAAAAATTTTCAACGTGCATTTGCATTTAATTTTTAGAGTTCTGAAAAAAGAAATACACTTAGAAAATAAAAATATTTGATTAGTCACCTTTAGGTTCAACAGCAAATTCAAATCGTGATGAATTACATGTCTATCTTCCATTTTGCGCCGCTTATTTTTTACAGCAAACACAGATGCAGTATATGCTAATGGGGGTTGTTGAATATCTATTTCATTCATTTTCTCTAAATAGGATTTGCATATCAATGTCAACTTCTTTACCGCATCATTATATAGAGTGAGAGAATTCAGCACTAGAAAAGAAATTAAAAGCACAAAATTAAATTAATTCAATTCTATGAAACAAAAAAAAAACAAAACAAAAAACGTTATTCCTCATTATTATACATTAGATTTTAAAGTCGTTTCCTAAACCAACCTTAATATTTACAACATTTAATGCTTGATCCATAAAGCTCTTAAGCATATATCGGATTTTCTTTTTTTAAGTGAAAAAAAAGAAGAAAAAAAAAACTAATTTGACATCAGTTGCGAAAAATCAGCTATTTGATTTCTTCTTTATCAGTTCACTACTATAAAATCAACGCTAGATTTTATTTCTCTTGCATCTTTATAGTTTTACCATATTTCTATTCAAGTAATTTTGACTCAATCTTGTACTATAAATACCATTATAACTCCATTTAAGAGTTAAAATGGATTTGTGGGGGCGGAGTTATCGACCATGCCAACCTTCATCTATCAAAAGGTACCTCATGATTGAATTAAGTTAGCATGTCTTATATACCAGTGAATTGATGTTTAATTTTCGTAGTGGTAGTTATGCCACAATACTCCCCCACCAGAATTTTATCAGGGATAAAATTCGATACCACTAGTTGCTGTACTTGTGAAAGACCGGGAGAACTGGAATTAAGATCACCGGGTTTTTGAGTGCTGAATGTGAGAGGTGTATTAACTTCACAGACGTGGTCGCTCCTGTGTTGCCTTTAGCAGTCGAGTGTATGCTGGCCGACGGTGTGTGTATGTTCGAGACGAGACGGAGCAGCAATAGAGTGAGGAGGTGGATGATGCCGCATGCAATGTAAAGATTGTGTTTCGATTAATTTTAAAAAAAAAATAAAAATTAGCATTGCCTTTTGAAAATTTTGAATATTTGTCACTAAAACTGCAACAGAGAGCTACACAATGATTTAAAAATATCATACTGTTGATTCGAAACGCATGTTTTACAGGGAATCATACTGTGTATGTACATACATGTGCGTGCGTGGGGGTGGTTGAGCTGCAAATATAACTATTTAAATGATATTTGGGAAGAAATTGACCAAAATTTCTACGACTCTTGGGAGACAATAAATATTCAGAAAAGAAAATTAAAAAATGTTATGTAATGCTCAGTAGTTAAGGTACACTCCAATTATTTTTCATTTAGCACATAGCAGTTAATTTTTGACTGAAGTCTAATTCAATATTTAATTATTGTTTTTGAATTGGTAAACTAAATAGAGTTTATAAAAAATAATCAGAAAACTATGTAGCACAAAACATATCATGGTAATTTTTTAATCATACATATTTCCTCATTAATATTTTTGAAACTTTAAAAAAATATCTACATTATATGATATATATAAGAATCTTTGAGTTAAAAGCTCTTTTTACATTTTGTGTATTTAAAATTTAATTATTATTGTATATATTTCATAAAGTATAAGTGTCTAAAAAATATATTTGGATTATTTTATATCATTAAAGTATAAATATTGCAAGAATATGTTAAGAGGAAAACTATTTTATATCTAACAACCATTTTATATCTAACTATTTTTTATATTTGAAACTAAAGCCAACTATTTTTTGAGTCTTACCCCAGTAAATATAACAAATTTACTGGCTTATAACTGTAAAAATGTTTTGTTTTAAATATGTTTAGTAATAAGGTACTATCAGTTTACTTTAAAACAAAGGAAAAATGCTTTTGATACTAAGCTTTTAAATCAGAATAATCAAAGTAAAAAATATAGAGAATAAAAAGATGATAAATACTATATGGAAATACAATTAAATAAAGGATATACAATTATTTAACAAATAACTATCTGTATCATTTGATTTTTTTTGGACAATAAGAATGCCAAAACAGTAATGACAAATAGTTTCAGACCATTATCTTTTTATGTAATAGAGATAACTATAAAATATTCAACTCTCTTAAAAATAAACACTTCTTGATCTTAAAAATAATGAAGAAAAATTTCAATAAATATAAATTAATAAGAAAGTTCACCCAAATACTACTTTAAAAACAAAGTAAAATTTGAATCAAAATATTTTAGAGTCTGATGTACCCCGATTAATTAATAAAACAGTACAAATAAGAAATTTTACTACGATCACTTAGAAATTTAGTCATGAGAAACGAAAGAATTGTAATCCATAATTTAATTCCTTACATTTTCCATCAGATGTTGAGTTTTCTTTTAATTGTTGCTCAGAAATGCTACTCTCTATCTGTTCAGCTGTTTCTTTAGCTATTGACACAGCTAGATTATATGGACATTTCCTATAAAAATAAAATGTATGCATACATATATTTATATTGAAAATATACAGCAAAGACAAGACTTATATTAATTTAATAAATTCTTACATTTTGAAGAAAACAAATTTTAACTTTTAGCATGCCCAACAACAATAAGATTATTGATATATTTTTCCGCATAGGAAGAGATAAGCAAAAGCAAAAATTTTCAAAACAAAAGAATTTTATAAAATTATCATAACTTAAAAACAACAGATTTACAACAGATATTTTGCTTTAAATTATATATACATAGTGGTGGGCAATATTCTATTTAATTCAATTAAAAATATTCTTTAAAATAATTTTTTTCACATAAAAAATATTTTCTAAATGTCATGTTATGAGGTTCAAATATTTCAAGTAGGATTTTCAAGACAGGTTTTCGTACCGGTGGCTAATCTAGAGAGATTAGCAGCTTTACCCTTTGAAAAGTGCAGATTTACGTCCTTACACTTTGTGTGAGGGAAGTGTTTTTCTTAACTTAAATTAATTCAGATATTTTTCATAAACAATTTCTTAAAAATAAAAAACATAACAAAAAATTATGTTTAGGAAATTTTAAAAATTAGATTTAAAATTTAGTTTGAGGATAGAAATATTATTAATTTTTTATTATTATTTTTTTAAGTTTTGAAGGAAAGGAAAGCACGAAAAATTCCTGAGTATTCTACCCGAAATTTTATCATAAACGTAAAATTTACTTAAGATACATTTTTTACCTAAATTTAACAAAAAAATTAGATTACTATAGTAAGAGAAAAATATGAGTAAAAGGAAAACCCAGGGTGTATTTGTTGCTACTTTCTGTCATGATCAGGGATGATGTAGCAAAAAAGAAAACGCCTTAGCAAAAATTGATTTTGTTTCAGACTAAATTGATGAATTGTCTTACTAAAAATAGTGTTTTGTGAACAAAACTTTTAGCTACGGGTATAATGAAATCAATTACATACGGTTTCATATTTTATTTGGTAGATAAAAAAACTAACCGATAATAAATATTAGCAATTCATTAATTTTCAGATCTACATAAAAGAGTCTTTATCAACAAATGATCTTTTTAATAAACGAATATCATTTCAACTGACATTTAATGATTTTATCCTAAAATATTCTACAAAGCAGAAAAATTGGTACAACAAAAATTGCTATTAATATTTAACAGGGATACTAATGGCTTCATGAAAAAAATATCTAGGTAGGAAAAAAAGTATGTGGGAGACACATAACTATACTTATTGTGGCAAACTTTTGCTTTTAGAAAATTATAAACCCATTCTTAAAAATATTAATAGAAATTTCAATTCTTAACACAGTTTTAGACCGTCTTTCTTCCTATATTAAAAATCGCAAGGGCCATTGCGACTGCTTTGGGTGCTCAACTTAACGTTACATTTTATTTCGCAGAGCAAAACATAACAGACTTAGAAACAGACTTGAAAATAAACACTTACCACATGGCTAGTAAACAAAAATAAATAATAATAATTTGAAAAAAAAAATGGAAACTTAAGTAAGGAACCGGTCACTTTTTCCTTTTGTTTCTTATTTCTTTTTGAAAATTGTTTAAACAGGGTGCGTAGCATGGTAAAGGAAAAATTCAACAAAAAATAAGCACCTTTTAAGCACTCAATAAATATTTTTAAGCACTTAAATGTCATAATTAGGCAGGGTTGGAAAGTTTTTGACAATTGACGGTTTTATCTTGTTTTAACAGTCATGTCAAAAATCATGAAGTTTTGAATCATGTAAAACGAACATTCGTTTGCCATGGCGTTTTCATACACTACGGACTGACAATCTGTCAAAATAGATTGGGGTTAAATGAATTGTGAAAATGTTGAATAGAACAATGGGAACTGTCTTTTTGCCTAATTCGTATCGAAAATCAACATGGTAAAGGAAATATTTCATTTTGAAAAAGGGAAAATTAAGCACTTTTTAAAAACGCTAAGCACTCTGGAAAACAGAATTTATTAAAATGTATAAATTTCTCCATTCAAAATCCAATAATTTGTGTGGAAAGAAGTTCTTGACAATTCACCATATTTCCAAGTTGTAATGTATACATTAAATATATTTTGCTACCCCCCCCCCCCCAATTTTTTTTTAATTAAGTTCTTTAAAGTCAGTATGTTTAACTAAATTTTCTCAAATATTTGTATTATTTTCATTCTTGAATTAATTTTTCTCAGCCATAGAGTATTTCTCATATGATTTTTTTAAAAAAAACAAATATAATTTAATCTAAGCAAAAAAGAGTTTGCAATAAGTTTTTATTAAATTAAAAGAACCTATTGATATAAGTCGCCAACTCAGGTTTGAGGAAAAAATGACTACTAAGTTATTAGAATATATCTGCCACTGGCTACTAACTAAAAATTTCCAGCTCCACTTTGAAACTTGAAATTATGAAGGTGTGTAGAAAAATGTACAAAATTTACTTTCAGAATTTTTGATTGTTAAACATGTAGCAAAATACAACAAAAGACTGACAAGCATGATGAAGAGACCGTTTCTGTTTATACACAAAGCCCTAGTTTATTTTTGAAATTCCAAATGGCTCGAAAGTTATCGTAATAGTAAATGCTTTTATTGTACTATTCAGTAGTAAGAGCTTTTAATATATTTTTCAAAATTATTATTTTTTAATTATCACAGTAAAAATGAATTAATTTTACAAATGTGTTTGAATAAGTAGGATAGACACACAATTTACATTTTCGTTCTTTATTCATGTAGTGTAACAAATCACATGAATAAGAATAGCGATGTCTGACTTATAAATAAGGAGATTATGAATTGTGATGAGTAGTTTTAATATTGCGTAAATACGAATTCCCATGCATAATTTTTCAGCCACGTGAACAGAAATCACGAGAGTGGCTTTCAAAATGCATGAATACGAATCACGATGTGCGCTTTTATAATCGCGTAAACTAAGTCTACTATACTAGGAAGTCTAATTCAGTACTATACTAACTAGTCTAATTCAGGGGCTCTAGCGTAAACAAGAATCACGTACTAAAAAAAAAAAAAAAAAAAAAAAAAAAAAAAAAAAAAAAAAAAAAAAANAAAAAAAAAAAAAAAAAAATACAAATCGTCAAATTAAATCAAATCATGAATCAAATTAAATCATGAATACAAATCGTGACGTGAATTTTTAACCGCGTGAACACGAATCACTATGTTTAACTTTAAAATCGCGCGTTTAAGAATCGCGATAATTGATTTTAAAAGATTCTAAATACGCGTTAATAATTTAAATAAGTGCTGTTTTTGTATATGAAATGCCGTTGATGTGGGGATTCGCAGATCAAAGTAGACATTAAATTGATATGTGTAATTAGTAAGGCCCGGATTTTGATGACATTTGCATTTTTGGTCCTTTAGAGCATTTTTAGAGATTTATACGGCATTTTCTTTAAATTTTGGGGCGTATTTTGCATTTTAAAGCATCTTTTAATTTTTTTCTAATTTTTATAATTTTAATTCTTACACTGGCTTCCAAACAATGAAGAAAATCTCTAGGATATTAAAAGGTGAAGCAAAATCTTTTCAAATTGAAGAAGAATTGTCAGTAAGTGTAACCGTCCTTTTCAAGTACGCACCAATAATATCAGTAGACGTTGAAAGAAGCTTCTGCAGGAATGAAAATTTACTTTCAGACAAGAGACGCTCGTTTACATTTCAAGTCATCAAAAAACATTTAATAATCCAATGTAATTCTGATATTTAGAAATATTATGAGATGGAGGTTGTTATATCCATTAAAGTTTCTATACAAAATAAAAATATTTTGTTTGGTGTCAATATATTTTCCTTTTTTTGTTTTTTAGGATATAAAACATATTTTTCAAACTTTAATGAACGTAGAACAAGTATTGCATTGCTTTATATTTTTTGAAACGACTCATAATAATTTTAAAGAGTAAAACATTGTTTTAGTTCAATATTTTTTACTTCTATTTAAGTCTTGTCATAAGGCATTTTTAGAGCAATTTTCGCATTTTAAGGGCATTTTTTGCAGTTTGTAAGGGCATTAATTGAGATTTTTTAGGTCATCAAATCCGGGCTCTAGTAATTAGTAATTCAATTAAGTATAAATAGAAAAACAAGATTCGAAAATTAAGTGAACGAGTCGTGAATAACGTGAATATAAATCGCAAATCGCGATGGTGATTCGTAAAAATGTTTGATGCAAATTGCGATGTCTAATTTATTGTAATTCAAAAGAGAATAAAAGCGAATCTGTAGAAATTAAATTAGTTTACACGTTGGATCAAGCGGGTCGAGAAAATAACGCTGTCGTAGATAAGAATGCAATTTTTATATCCGAACTTTTTTGAAGAAGCAGAACTCTTCTTAAAAAAGTAAAAACTCATTAGAAATTGGCTGATATGGTCTTGAGTCGTATAGGTTTTGCGCAACATAATAAAATGTACCATGAAGCTGAATATCCAAAACAGCGGAGGAGCAGACGACTTTTTAATATACTGAGTAAAAGAAAATTGATTCAAGAATCAACAAACGCGCAGGTTCAAGACGCAGCGGATATTTATCACTAATTAACTACAATTAATTGCTCATGCGTTCAGACAAAGAAAAAACTGCAATAGTTCATGCGTTATGCTATAACATCACACGTTTTTTTTTTTCTCAATTAAAACAAATGTAAAGAGAAAAATCTAGACTAGTGTAATTAAAAAAAAAGAAAAAAAAAAAGGCAGAGAGGAATTTGCGACAGAGCGGCGAAGAGAAGGGGTGGGAAACAATGAGGCGAAGCGTAACGAATGAATAAAGGAAAGTCTTTGCTTCCTGGCTTAAAGAACATGACATCTCTACCTGTGCGTTTTTTGCTCTTCAATGAACAAAAATAACATCACACGTACAGGATGTGAGGCAATCAACCGAGTATACAGGGCTCGGAGTGGCAAAGAATTCGCGCTTTCACAAAACGATTTTAATAAACACCAGGA